TTTTTTTTTTTTTTTTTTTTTTTTTTTTTTTTTGGGATGTTCTTGATCTTTGCATATGGACAAATTCGTTAACTATCGTGTGATTTGGTCTGTTTTTCTCTGTTTGAAATTGGATTTTTTGTCTTTTTTTTTTTCGTGGTCTTGTTTTGTTCGGAATTTCAATGTAACCCCAGTTCCTGAGGGCAGTGGAAAGCGGAAGCAACCTCTACCCCTCATCACGATGGAGCATCTAGATGGTCCCCCATCGAGAAGGTGCGTACAGAAATGTATGATTGAAAGAATGGTTTCAGTGTGCTTTTCATGTTTGTCTTCCGTATTTGTAGTGTTTGGTTCACAAAGTGCGCTCTTTTAATTGATACGTACACGCTGTCACAGCCATGGTCATTTACTTTCTCAGAATTATGTGAGCCAGTAAACGGCCATGGATGCGACTCAAGATGCCCTGGGATTACACACACAAGTCTAAAATTGGAATCCTTTTTTTCATCGGGGTTGGGGGGGGAGGGGGGGGGGGTGTGGAATCGAAGACACACGTTCAACTTCTACTTGTACTATCTACTATACTATACTAACTATACTATATGTGATACTAGTTACTTACTGTACTATACTATAGCTCCTAAATTGTGGAGCGGGTCTTGAAAGACGCTCCCAACTGGGCCCAGAGTGTCACAGCGGTGTCCTGCTCTGTGCTGGAGACGTGGCGGCTCTTTTTTTTCGGGTTTCCCTTCAGACCCGTTTTCCTCAGGCTGCCTGCAGTTGTATGAGTCACATCCGTTTTTCTCCCGCTGCCTGCTGTTGTTCAAGTACAAGTATACAAGTACACAGAGGGCCTCACTCCACTACAGTAACTCTCGAAATGTGCAAAACAAGAGGGAATCTTCGCTAGAACGTGAAAACTTAAGATACACCCGCATAGTTTCTCTTTTGTGCATGTCGAGAGTAGTGGAGCTAGACCCAGATTTTTGGATGTAACTGCATGTAAGGGGCTCACCACACAGCCTTTTGAAGGCAGACATTTTCTGAAAATTTGTCAGGAACTCTTCGAAAGGTGGGGGTTCGAGATAGAATCCACCTTCGCCACACAGACTTTTGGAAGCCCACCTTTTGCCGCACGGACTTTCCGAAAATTGTTTGTCATCAGGGTAGCGCCCCTGACAGATGGAACTCAAGACCCCCTTTTCTGCAAGACCTCGAGGGGACTTTTGAAAAACGGGCCGTGCCAGGCGGGAGGATCGTGCCATCGCAAAACTCCTTTTGAGGCTGAGTGGCCTGACACCTTTCGAACGGTTTTTGGGAACCCATGGTTGGAAAAATCTTTAAGGCGGTGTGGCGAAAATGAACTTCCGATTTTGCCGGTTTCAAAAGGCTGTGTGGCAAGCCCCTAAGTACATAACAGGTCATGTGTGATTGTCAGTTTTTTTTTTCATTTTTTTAATTGATTTTCAGTTTTTGCAACAGGTCACGTGCGATTTTTAGTTGTTTCGTGCCCATAGGTTTTGTAATTTTGGCCGTTTTTGGATGTGGAGCTCCAAAAAAGGAAGATACACGACCATATTTTCTGTCTTTTGTGCATGTGGCGAGTAGTGGAGCCTGGCTGACAACGACCTAGGGCCTTGGCTCCGCTGCTTTCCACATGCACAAAAGACAAAAAATATGGCAATGTATATTTCCGTGTTGCTTTCCACATGCACAAAAGACAAAAAATATGGCAATGTATATTTCCGTGTTCTAGTGTAGGATTCAGTCTTATGATTCGATGATAATATGGCAATGTATATTTCCGTGTTCTAGTGTAGGATTCAGTCTTATGATTCGATGATGATCTGATACATGTAGGGCCTCGCTCCGCTGCTCTGCACATGCACAAAAGACAAAAAATATGGCAATGTATATTTCCTTCTTTTTTTTAAGAGGTATGTACGTTCATGTCACCTTCGAGTTCGAAAAGGCGACGGAAGTACTGACGGCCGTGGTGTCAGACCCCGGTGTCATATTTACAGGGGTCGCCCGTGGTGTCAGAGGGGAAAGCAAAAAAAAAAAAAAAAATGCCCAACGGATATTTTTGGACCGAAATCACTCATTTCGAGCTGGGGCGTGGCTTCTTTGCCAGCACAAGTTTTTTTTGCCTTTAGGGTTTCCAAACATATCGCGTCCGCCGTGTTTTTTTTTTTTTTTTTTTTTTTTTTTTTTTTTTTTTTTTTTTTGCGGAGGATTTCTTATCATAGATTCGTCTCGTTTTGCTGTCCCTGGGTAACCCGTAATTGTGTTTTTTTTAACTTTTTTAACTCATCTGCATCGATTTCGAGGAGGACTAGAGGCATTAGACACTGTTTTAAGTATGCAGGGATGAGGAGGACTAGAGGCATGCGGCCTGTGAGAGACTTCAGGGAATTCCCCCCCCGCGGCCCGCGCCCTTGGGGCCCTTCTGCTGTTTGACTGGGTGCTGCCAGTAATCTTCCCGACCAGCAGAAGAGCCCCAGGGGAGGCCATGGTTTGAAAATGAGGAATGGGTTCTGGACCTCTGGTGGAAGACACAAGAGAATTTTATCCAATTTTCAACTTTGTGCTTTTTCGCTTCATAGAACTGGGACAGAGTCTCCCAGAGTCTTTTTTTTTTTGACGTCATGCACAGCTTGTAGATGGGAAAGGGGTTGGCAAGCCTATGATTTGAAAAGAAGCACCAGGATATTGAATTTCGCATTCTAGGTGATCTCTCCCATTTTGGTCATTTTTTGCATGCACTGCTGTACCATGTGGGAGCAGTAGTCACGAATGGCAACCGTTCCTACTATTATGCGAGCCATTTGCTGTCCTTCAGTGCGGTATGGTGCCAATGTTCGATTTTTGCATTGGTAAGGATGTGTACAAGATAGCGAACGACCTTCACAGAATTACGGCCGCGTCTTCAAGTTGCTGATTCGGTGTCCAAATATCGGCTCCACAGGCCCGATTGAGGTAGGTTGTGTATCTGCTGACACGGAAAAAATGTGTAGCCTTCCATTTGACTGTCATGTCAGAACTTCCAGAGCTTGTGAAGCTCGTTATAATTGATTAATTAATTGATTTTTCAGATCTTTTCTCTTTGAAACCAACTGTATGTTGTATTGTGTAGGTCATCAAAGAGTTCAAAGAGGGTGTCAGCTAGCAGAGCTGGTCCCTCACCTAGATTTGATGCTTATGAGGATGCCAATGGCTCGGTAAGGCTGGAAAATCAGAACAGGCATGGGACAAACAGCTTCGGTTTTGACAGCAACCTCCGCAACCCGTTCCAGAGCCTCACTGATGAAGGTGCGCGCAATACAATACTCCTCTTTTTTTGTTCCTTTTCTCAGCTCCTCAAACCACCGGTCCACGAGCAAGGTGCTCCGGTTAACCAGCCAGCTGTTTCGTGGATGCAAAGGCCTGCCTGCGTCCAGTTACCAGAACTTAACTCTATTTATGAAGAAGAGACTGTCAGAGGACCAGGTAGCTGGGAAAGGGTACTTGCTTGTAAACAAGCTTATTCCATTTTTTTTGTTTCTTGTTTTTCCCTTCCTTTCCCGACTAATCTTTTTCCTCCTGTTTCAATGAATGGTGGTGGCCCTGTGCTAAGCGTGCTTCCAATATAATGCCTCAGGGGGGTGTGCACAAGACTGCTTATAGCTACCCGAGGTCCTCAACATGGTCAATGGGTTGCTTCACCCAGTTCTAGCACTCCCATCATCTCAAAGACTCAAACATTATTCAACATCTGCATTTTGATGTCTCCAACACCTACTTGCACCCTTGCTGGCACTTTGCACCCTCAGGTTAGCAGCATACCCATATGCCAGGAGTCTGGCACCTCAGGTTACTCCTGCTGCTACTATACCACTGTCACAGTGACTTTCCTTAAGACAAATCGATCTGAAAAAGATCATTGCATATTCTTCAGTAGCTCACATGAATTTTGTCACTATTGGCGTGTTTAGTCGGGCGGCCGTTAGGTCACCTATTGTACAAAGACGCACGTGACCGTATCCACTACTACTGCTGCTGCTGCTGCTGCTACTACCACTACTGCTGCTACTACTACTACGACGACTACTACTGCTACTGTTACTACTATTGCTACCACTACTACTAGCTCATAGCACTGCAGCTGCTGCGGCTACTACTAGCACTACTACTACTACTACTGCTACTGCTACTGCCACTGCTACTGCTACTGCTACGGCTACCACTACTGCTACTACAACTACTATAATTACGACGACTATTGCTGCTACTGCTGCTACTGCTACTACTGCTTCTGCTGCTCCTGCTGCTGCTGCTACTACTGCTACTGCTGCTACTACTATTACTGCTACTGCTACTACTACCGTAACGGCTACCACTACTACTAGCTGATATTGCTGCTGATGCTGCTACTACTGCTATTGCTATTGCTACTGCCACTGCTACTGCCACTGCTACTGCTACTGCTGCTGCTACTGCTGCTGCCACTACTACTACTACTACTACTACTACTACTACTACTACTACTGCTGCTGCTGCTGCTGCTACGACTACCACAACTACTAGCTGATACTGCCGCTGCTGCTGTTATCATACAGTTACGACTCTGACGAGTCTCTTCGAGTGTCTAGGTTTCGCATCATATTTGTTCTTTAATTTTAGTCACTACGGGAAAAGGATTCCATAATTTCCATTGTGTGTTTCCAGAAAAAAAAATTATGTTTTTCGAAGATATTGTAGTTTTATCTATTTCGTCTTTTTCATATTCTCTTATCTTGAAATGTTATTTTTTTTAACATATCTCTCATTATGCTTACTTCTATTTAAATATAAAAGTAATGATACTATGATAGATTTAAAATTTCACAATCAGCTTAATTCTGTTTGCATAAATACATATTTGACGATATATTAAAAATTAATAGCGCACTTAGAGGTAAAGCAAATTAGAAAAGATTGGAAAGTTTTTCCAGAGAAGGTGATAGCCCTGTACCATACTTGCGGCGCAGTTCTGCGTTGTGCCATGCACCATGCACAAATTAGTGATGTGCTCAAGTTTTTTATTTTTTATTTTAGGTGTGTGTGTGCGTATACGGGGGGGGGGGGGGGG